TAATTTTTGGTATTTTAATTATGTGTCTGGGTGTGGGCCCGAATGGGTTCTTCTTGCTTGGGACTTTCTGTGCCTCCTATACTTGTGTGACTTTTTCTTTCACCAGGTTATGATGTTTTCTGCCATTATTTCTTCATACATGTTCTCTATCCCTTGCTCACTTTCTTCTTGTTTGGCACACCTATAATGCAAATATTAACTTTCCTGTTGTCCCACAGCTCCCTTAAGCTGTCCTCTTGCCTTAAAAAAAAAAAAAAAAAAAAAAAAAAAAAATATATATATATATATATATATATATATATATATATATATATATATATTTAATTATTTATTTTAGGTCTAGTAATAATTAATGTCGTTTTCTAATACTTTTTTAAAATCAAATTTATTTAAACAATACAACAAAATTTAATCAACAATATAGTTGCCGTTGTTTTCTACTACTTGTGCCCAACGCTCAGGAAGCATTTTAATCCCTCTGTTGTAAAATTCTTGTGATTTTGATGCAAAAAATTCGGTCAATGCATTTTTGAGGCATTCTTCATTATTAAATTTTTTTCCAAGAAGAAAGTTTTGCAAAGAACGAAACAAATGGTAATCGGAAGGGGCAATATCAGGAGAATATGCAGGTTGAGGGAGAACTTCCCATTCCAACTGGCGCAGTTTTTCAGCAGTGATTCTTGCAGTATGCGGTCGTGCGTTATCATGGTGAAGAATTACGCCCTTCCGATTAATCAGCGCGGGTTCTTTTTCTCTTAAAGCTTGGGCTAACCTTTCCAATTGGGCACTATACACTGCACTTGTAATGGTTTGGGTAGATGGTAAAAGTTCATAATGAAGAATTCCTTTAAAATTCCACCAAACACACAACATCACTTTTTTCGCATGCAAGTCAGGTTTTGGCGTGGGCTGCGGAGCCTCATTTTTGTCCAACCATCGAGGCCGCCTTTTCAAATTAACATACAGCACTCATTCTTCATCTCCGGTAACAATTTGCTCTAAAAACAGCAATGGTTTTGACGAGAGAGGAGCGAACTGCAAATTGTGACTCTTTGATTACGGTTGTTGTCGGTCAACTCATGAGGAACCCATTTTCCAAACTTTTGGACTTTGCCAAGTGCACGCAATTGATTGGAAATTGGAAATTGTTTTTTGTGAACAATTTAAAGTTGTCGCAAGCTCTTGTTGGGTAATTTGAGGATTTTGCACCAAAAGAGCTTGAAGAGCTTCTTGATCAAAATTGGACACACGGTCTCGACCACTCTTGTCATCTAACGAAAAATTTCCCTTGCGAAATTTCTCAAACCAACGCTGGCATTTTCTGGCGCTAACTGCATCTTGACCAAGAGCACTACAGATGTTTTTTGCAGCCTCACTTGCTTTTCTTCCTAATTGGAACTCGTAAAGCATGCAGTGCCGAATATGCTCTTCATCCGCCATCTTCTTAGCCCTAGTTTTGCAACAAAAACCAAACCAAACACAAACTTTTTCAAGCAAAACTTGTTAACTGCACATCACACATTCTATAGATACCACGTGTTTGAAGGTTATGTCAATACAAGCCAACGCCAAGCAAGATTTTAAACGAATGTTAAAAAACGACATTAAGTATTACTAGACCCGAGATATATATATATGTGTGTGTGTGTGTGTGTGTGTGTGTGTGTGTGTGTGTGTATATATGTGTGTGTGTGTGTGTGTGTGTGTGTGTGTAGATATATATATATATATATATATATATATATATATAAAATAAAAAATTATCCCTAGCCAGTTTGGCTCAGCAGGTAAGAGCATTGGTCTGTGGACTGAAGAATACTAGATTCAATTTAAGTCACAGAACATGCCCGGAGTACATCTTGATCCTTAGTATGGGGCATGCAGGCAGCAGCTGATCAATGATTCCCTGTCATCATTGATGTTTCTATTGTTCTCTCCTACCCCCTCCCTTTCTGAAAGCAATTTTTAAAAGATGCTATTTGCCATGAAGAGATGGGTGGGAATGTAGGAACTTTCTTAAAAGGGCCAAAGCAGATAGAAACATCTGCCCATTCAGCCCTTCCTTTCAGTCTCTATGTGTTCGTCACTTTCCATCCTTGGTTATCAGGGTTCTCTCTAGCTAGTCTTCAGTTGATTATTTAGGATGTTTTATTTCTAGTTAAGTATTTTTTAAAATAGGTTCTACATTTTATTTTAATCAATCGAGACATGATAATACCAACTGGGTTACTACACGGGAAAGCCAACAAAATAGCTATAACTTGGCTAATGAAAATGAATCAATAGCTCTATATAATTTTGCAGATGATCAGCATTTCATCCAACTTAGAATGTTAAGTGGAAGTTTTTCAGTATTTTAAAGTAGGCCTGAAAAACAAAACTAAAAAATGGCCAGGCTAGCCAAAACTGGTTTGGCTCAGTGGATAGAGCCTCGGCCTGTGGACTGAGGGGTCTCAGGTTCGATTCCGGTCAAGGGCATGTACCTTGGTTGCAGGCACATCTCCAGTGGGGAGTGTGCAGGGGGCAGCTGGTTGATGTTTCTCTCTCATGGATGTTTCTAACTTTTTTTTTTAAATATATTTTATTGATTTTTTACAGAGAAGAAGGGAGACAAATAGAAAGCTAGAAACGTTGATGAGAGAGAAACATCGGACCAGCTGCCTCTTGCACACCCCCTACTGTGGATGTGCCCGCAACCAAGGTACATGCCCTTAACCGGAATCGAACCTGGGACCTTTCAGTCCGCAGACCGACGCTCTACCACTGAGCTAAACCGGCTTCGGCTGTTTCTAACTCTTTATCCCTCTCCCTTCCTCTCTGTAAAAATCAATAAAATAAAAAAATAATAATAATTTTTTAAAAAAAAAGGCCAGGCTAGTTACACACCTATTAGACTGGTTAAAATCCATATCACTGACAATACCAAAAACTGGTGAGGATATGGAGCAATGGGAGCTCTATTCATTGCTAATAGTAATGCAAATTGTGCATGCAGCCACTTTGGAAGAAAATCAGGCAATTTCTTTCAAAATTGAACATACTATTACCATATAAATCAGCAATCATGTTCCTTAGTATTTACCCAAAGGGGTTGAAAACTCTTGTCCAAACAAAACTTGCACATGGATATTTATAGAAGCTTTATTAAAAATTGCTAAAACTTGAAAACAACCAAGATGTCCTTTAGTGGATGGACAAATAAACTCTGGTATATACAGACAATGGACGATTCAGTGCTAAGAAAGGGGGGAAAAAAAGAAAAAAAAAGAAAAAAGGAGCCATCAAGCCATGATAAAAAACATGAAGGAACCTTAAATGCATATTACTAGGTAAGAGAAAACAGTCTAAAAAACTACATACTGTATGATTCCAACTACATGACATTCTGCTAAAATTATGGAGACAGTAAAAAGATCAGTGGTTACCAGGAGTTGAGGGGAAGAAGAGGAATGAAGAGGGAGAGCACAAAGGTTTTTTAGGGGAGTGAAAACACTCTGTATGGTACTATTAAAAGTCATTATACATTTTGTTCAAACCAACAGAATATATACTAAAAGAGAACTCTAAACTATGGACTTTGGGTGACCATGATGCATCAATATAGGCTTATCAATTGTAACAAACGTACCACTCTGGTGGGGGATGCTCATAATGGAGAAAGCTATGAATGTGTGGGGCCAGGAGTACATGGGAAATATCTGGACTTTCCTCTCAATTTTGCTGGTAACTAAAACTACTCTAAATATCTACTCTAAAACCTAATATTTTTTATTTTTAGTATCCTAATACTACTGCCCTGTCCTGCTATCCCACCAAATAAAGATAATTTGGTGGATAGGGAGGAAAGCTTCCCTTCATGTTGATTTAGTCAAGACTCGCTGAGCTATTTCTAGCCTAGCTAGTCTGTTCAAAACACCCACAAATAAAATGAATATTTTTCTCTGCCAATCATTTTTTTCCTTGTGTTTACATCCAGATCAGTCTTGGAAGAGACATTTAACCCTGAATGTACATACTCATTGGATATTGCCTTCCATCAACAAGTTGGTAAGGGCAAGATAAAATCCTGATTATAACAACAAGAGGTGACAAAAGCACAAAAGGAAAATTTAATAACATTACCAGCTATATCTACCGGAAGTTTTAGCCCACTGTCAATATCTGTCTTTTGGAAAATGAAGTGCTCAAACCTGATACTGTTAGGATTAGTGTAAGGTGCAGGTCCATTTGCCAAGGAGAGGGAAAACAAACAACTATAACTTGATCCCACTTGTATTTTTTCTTTTCCAAAAGCAAAACATTTACAGTAAAACATGAACATTTAATTACCTTTAAATATATGAAGTAATTTACATACTATACATTCCCAATCACACTGAACATAAATCCAATGTTGTAAGACATACATAATCTGCCTTTTGCCAATATATTCCCTATATTGAATGTTAACTGATTTTTCAGTCCATGTGAGAACAGATAAATATATATATATATATATATATATATATATATATATATATATATATATGCCTCAAGTTGAAGACTGTAAGATAATAAATCAGAGATGACTATAGAAGACTTCCATGGAAGATTCTAAAACCACCATCAGTACTGAAACCAAACAAGGCATTAAAGCTTTCCCTTTGTGGTCACAAAGATTAAGTTTCCTGTCCTAGTGCTTAAATATCACAAATTATATTTTCTATACAGTGTTTCTGTTACTGCTTACAAAGGGATATTTTTATTACATAACTTGATACAGAAAAGCATTGGAAAAATAAATGGGATTTGATAAGTTCTCATACAATAAAGCTTTTGTTCCACTTGAAAAAGATATTTATGCTCAAAACTAATAATATAGGTATAATAAAGAGAAGCATGAAGGACCCTCTGCAGATTTCTTAGAATCCTTGAATTATAGCTCGTGCCACCATATTACTTACATTTTCTATTCTGAAGCCAGGTGCCTCCAGCAGTCCTGACCTCAGGCATCCAGGCCCTGTGCTTTTTTAAAAAACAAGGTAAAATAAAACTCTTCCTTATATATTAACAGAAAATATTATTCCATATAGAAATGACTGCTTTAAGATTCATATAACCAAGCAAAATATAATTATCTGTATTTCCCTTTTAATTTTATCCCAAAATGTCTAGGTAAATGGAAAGTAAAATATTCTAGGAAGAGCAGTAACTCATTGAGAGGTAAAACAGTTTAAAAATACATGTGTATTATTCATTGTTCTAAGAACAGTTTTAGAACTTTATATTTTTAAAATTACAAAGTTATCAAAAGAATAAAGCCAACCACAAAATAAGAATCAATACAATGCAGTAATGCACATATGAAAGATCGTCAAATGTGCTTAGTACATATTTTTAAAAATCAACAACCTATGTTATAATTAATAAGTCATCACATGTAGTACTAAGCAAACTGTAAGTAGAATAAAAACTGTGGTTTCATTTTGACTATGGAAGTAGAATGAGCTACACATGAACTTAACAGAGTGCCTATACAACTTTCTATATAGGAGTACTGTAACATGCAAGGCCTGCAGTAATGAGTATAGACTTCACAGATAAAACAAGGCTGGCAAAAAGAAAACCAAACACAAAATTCTGCTCTTGGCTATAAAACCTAAGAGTAAAGAATAAACTGAGATTTTAAGGCTTTCTTAGAAATATTTTTCATGGCACAACATTAAACATCACTATAGGTAAAATATGTAAAAATTCAGTTACATGGTTGCATAATTGAAAGAACATGCCATGTCATTTATTAAGGGATTGCCTTGTCAAGTTCTGTTTTCTGGTAATTAAATTATAGTTAAGTAAGGTTATTCATGTTTGACTCTATCATATAAATCATACAGAAATGTCAATTTGCTAGTATACAATGCAAATTGTGTTTTGAATAAACGTCAATATCACTTGTTTCTTAAAGAAATGTCATTTACACTAATGTAACTAAAGCAGTTACACTAATTCCTCTCACAAGAGCAGTTATTTTCCTTCCTTAAACGATTAATCTACTATTAAACTCTAAGATCATTATTAGACAAATTCCTTCTCGTCATGCACACAGATCATCCTCACAATAATCCATTTCTTGCACTACAGTCAGTCCAGAAAATACTCTAGGAGCCTAACAAGTCATTCTTGCCACACCATACTCTAAGCTGACCACAGCAGGTTCGGATTTGGAAAACTCCTCTGCGTATTCACTGTAACGATTATCCGCTGGGCTGCTGCCCTCTATAGTTCGAAGAGTATCATTCACAGGTAATAGAGTCTGCTCCTTAAAACTTAGGGAGGTTTTGATGATAGGTGATTCAGGATGAACTGGATGTAACAATTCATTGGTGAGAACTCCATCTATTTGCTCATTTTTGCGTTTATTAATTTTCTAGAACAAAAATAAATTTGAAAAAAATTACTAATTGCACATAGTATATGTTTAAAACAACTGTATATGAGACATATATATGAGACATTCACCCTGACATCACAATAATACAAAAATACACACTTATTTAGCTAAAGATTTTTAAAAAAATATATATTTTATTGATATTTTACAGAGAGGAAGAGAGAGGGATAGAGAGTTAGAAACATCGATGATGAAAGAGAATCACTGATCAGCTGCCTCCTGCACACCTCCCACTGGGGATGTGCCCGCAACCAAGGTACATGCCCTTGATCGGAATCGAACCCGGGACCCTTCAGTCCGCAGGCTGACACTCTATCCACTGAGCCAAACCGGTTTCGGCATTTATTTAGCTAAAGATTTTATTGCCTAAAACCTACATGTTTTTTCTATGTACAACATGCTTTAGAAACACAAAAATTTTTAAAAAAACTGAACAGAAGATTTTAAAAGTAATCTTTAGCAAAGTATTGCACTCTCCAAATTGTTGGACTAGTCTGCAAACCGATCTTTCTGAATTACCTATATCTTGTGCCTGCCTCTTTTTAACACATCCTCTTACAGTTTACTCAAGCAGTCATTACTTGGATGACTAAGGAACACCCTCGTCTGAGAGACAGACAAGATCAATTTATAACAACTGTCTAGAATTTTTAAAATATATACTTAGTAATTACTTTTGATTATATATGATGGCAAAGAAAAGATTATAGAAAAGTCTTAGGGTGGAGAGAAACTTCTTCATTGTTAATTTTTTTTCATTTTTTATTTTTAATATATTTTTATTGTTTTCAGAGTGAGAGAGAGATAGAAATGTCAATGATAACAGAGAATCATTGATCAGCTGCTTCCTGCATGCCCCATACTGGGGATTGAACCTGCAACCCAGGCATGTGCCCTTGACCGGAATTGAACCTGGGACTCTTCTATCCACTGAGCAAACCAGCTAGGGTGAAATTTCTTAAGGCACAAAAAAAAAAAAAAAGCAAAAACATAAAGATTGATAAACTTGACTACATTAAAATTCAAAGCATCTAAACAAAATACACTGTAAATAAAATGGAAAGGACAAGCCATCTGTAATATATATAACTAAAAAAAAATCAGTGCCTGAGATATAAAAAACTCTTGCAAATCAATAAGAAAAAGGCAGATAGGCAAACAGATAAGTCATTCATAGAAAAGGGGAAATCAAATGACCAACAAACATATGAAAAGTCATTCAATTTCAATTGTTATGAAAATCCAAAACTAAAAACAATTTAATTGTTTAGCAGCTGAAAGGATAGACCTCGCTACTCATACAAGAGAATATCATTCAGTAATCACTAACAAAAGAAATGCATTCAAGCTATACATACCAACATGGATAAATTTCAAAGCAATATTGAGCAAAATGAAGTATGTCAGTCTCTATATATTTTTCAAACATGCAGCTTCTTAGCTGAGTGAAAGGTACATGGGCATTCATGTTGTTTGTTGCCCTTTATACTGCATACAAAAACTATATTCTTTTTTATTGTTTAATATATGATAAAAATAGTATTTAAAATCACCAAAACAGTAATATAAGTTCTGGATACAAACATACATAGAAGTATACAAATGTTCACAGGAATAATTAACACCAAGTTAACTGAAAGTACATGAGGGGAGCATGAAAAGGACTTTAAGGGTCTTCAAATATATCATGTTTCATTTCTTAAAACAAAAGCATGAAAGATCTGAAACAAATATGACAAATGTTACAATCTCACAAAGTTAGGTGGTACATACCCTGGTATTTATTACTTTATATCTCTACTTCTCTATATACTTAGGATATTTCAATTTATTTTAAAATTCAGGGAAAGTGATTCAAACTAACCTATTCAAATCAGAGTTCTAACTTTGAAGCAACTATGTGTTCTGCTAATGTTTCTATATATACTAATTTAAGAACACAAGTATTAATAGTTATACTCCAAATATATTATATTAGATAATTCAGAATACTTACAGATTCTAAGTCTTGAATGTCTTTCTCTAACTGTTTATTTTGTTCATTCATATTCATAATTATGTTACACACCGACTCCCTGGGATGCAATGTTCGATCAAATTGGTGGTACATGTTTCTCCAAAACCTTTATGACCAAAAAAGGAAAAATTTCAATAAATAAATGTATTTTTTAAAAAATATTTATAAATATTCAAAGTGCCAACTTACTTAAAATTGAAAGATGCTGTATTTGGCTCTAAAACAGCAAACTGCTGAGAGTTGGAACTGTAGAGTGGATTTAAGTACTTCTTTTGGTCATCCAGAAGAAATGGCCACAGGGAGTAAGTCTTCTCCTTTAACCTTATATAATAAGAGAAACATAAAGGCCTTTCTCACAGATGCCAATACTCAGTTTTATAAAGCCGGCAATTTTTTCACGAGTAGATTTAAGTTTTAGTTTTTCCTTCTATTCACAGTCTAATGTCACCTTGTCTCTGAATTCTATATTCTTCTTCTCTGCTTTTCTACTTATAATCATTTAATAAATGATTATGTTTATCAAACACAACACAGGTATATTGTTTTCTTTCAAACCACATACTTAAAGAGATTCCTCTCTTATTTCACAGAATTTCATAATCTTCGTCTGGTCTATGTTACACCTACCGTATTTTTCGGACCATAAGACACACCTTTTTCCCCCCAGAAGTGGGAGGAAAAAGTCCCTGCGTCTTATGGTCCAAATATAGCCTACACATATACTTTAAAAAAAAAGTTTTTTTACTTTTCCGGCTCTGTGTGGTCTCTGTGTGCTTGCCCGGCTCTAAAATGGTTCTAAATGCTGCTGTTTACTTTACAGGGTTGATTACATGTGTTTATGACTGTGATGTTGGGTTTTAATGCACATAAAATATTTTAGGACACTATTTGTTTCAGAATCTTTTTTTCTTCATTTCCCTTCTCTAAAAACTGGTGCGTCTTATGGTCCGGAGCGTCTTATGGTCCGAAAAATACAGTACTTCAAATCATCACACACATACAGCTGACCCTTGAACGACACAGGTTTGAACTGCACAGGTCCACTTATACATGGATTTTTTTTTTTAATAAAGAGAGTTGGCCCTGCGTATCCTCGGGTTTCACATCCACAGATTCAACCACTCATGATCAAAAATAGTATTTACACCCTAACCAGTTTGGCTCAGTGGATAGAGCGCTGGCCTGCAGACTCAAGGGTCCCAAGTTTGATTCTGGTCAAGGACATGTACCTTGGTTATGGGCACAACCCCAGTAGAGTGTGTGCAGGAGGCAGCTGATTGATGTTTCTCTCTCATCGATGTTTCTAACTCTCCCTTTCCTTTCCTCTCCGTAAAAAATCAATATGTTACCACCAAGTTGTTCAAGGGTCAACAGTATACTATACAAAAAAGGCTAATATGCAAATTGTCCTCTCTGAAGTTCAACTGAGAGTTCGATTGCTCACTACAACGTGCACTGACCACCAGGGGGCACCACAGAATGAAGGACGGACCTGGCCAGCAGGAAGAAGGAAGGCCCTGATCACCGGTCAGGCCTAAGGACCCTACCTGTGCATGAATTTTGTGCACTAGGCCTATAGTATAGAGTAAGATGCTAATGTATTTCTGTTTAGCCTCATTTGGACTGTAATGGCATGTATTACAGGGCAAGTGTAAGTGGATACAAAACAAAAAAATTAGGAAAATGCCGAGACCAATTTGGCTCAATGGATAGAGCATTGGCTTGAGGACTGAAGGGTCCCGGGTTCGATTCCGGTCAAGGGCATGTACCTTGGTTGCGGGCATATCACCAGTAGGGGGTGTGCAAGAGGCAGCTGATCGATGACTCTCTTCATCGATGTTTCTAACTATCTCTCTCCCTTCCTCTCTGTACAAAATCAATAAAATATATTTTTTTAAAAATTAGGAAAAATCAGGACAGTATTCAAGAATTTAAAAATACCAATTATACTACAAATCTAAGAGTATGAAGGTGAAGTAGGTGAAAAAAAGGTAGATTAATTTAGATAGTATATTTACCAAAGAAATATAAACCAGTGATACAGAGGAAACAGTGGAGAATCTGCTCATTTTTCCATAACCTCTAAGATAACTAATAGATATGTTCTTAAAGACTACTAAAAAAAAAAAAATGTAATTTTATTACCATTTTCCTATTTATAAGGATGTTTGCATATTCATATTCATAATTGACAATAGTTTTTCCTAAAATAGCTCTGTGCTCCAAGTCACCTCTCCTAATTATGAAAAAAAACACAAACACTGTGAGATACTATAGCACAGAGTTAAAGTCCTAATCATCTCTGATTTGTTTATCTCCGTCATACTCTATTTCACTTATTTCCTTTACACATCTTTAGAATGTTCCACTTGCTCTCAATTCTGCCTTCAATTCTGTTGGGAGTGATAGTATGTGGCTGTCTTCAAACTACCACCATATTTAGCTCTAATATGTCACTCAGATCTTAAAAAATCTACAACTGCTCTTGATTGACTACTGTTAAAAATCTAATCTTAGAAATCCAACCTAACACACACACACACAGACACACACACTTCTAGCCAGAAGCCCCTAATCCCAAAGACCAGTTAGGGAAGAACAGGTGCAAGACCCAATCAGGGATAGACATACTGGAAGCCAACATAGGTAAACTTATTTCCCCAAAGAACAGCCTATTTAGAAATGTGAGGAGAGCTATAAGGCTTCATGTTACCTTAAATTATCCAACATTTTTACAATCTTTTATCACACTTTAAAACACAGTGACCAATACTTTATGGGAAATGAAATGTAAAGATTTTAAAATAAGTATTTAAAATTATATATATATATACATAAACATACATATATACTAGAAGCCCAGTGCGTGAAACCGCGCGGCCCTGCCCACCCGCCCACCACCCCACCGCACTCACAGCCCCACCCACCCATGTGCACTGGTTTTTAAAGCGTTAGGGCCACAGGCCTTTTATATAATAATATAGACTATAGACCCGATGCATGAATTGATGCATGGGTAGGGTCCAGCCGGCCCTGCCCCCTGGTTGAACTCCTAGTTGAACTCCTGGTCGAGGGGAAAATTTGCATATTGGCCTTTTATTATATAGAATTCAGACTGGAAAGGAGCATAAGGTGAGTTTTGAGGGTGTTGGAAATATTTTTTTTTTAATAAATATATTTTATTGACTTTTTACAGAGAGGAAAGGAGAGAGAGAGAGAGCTAAAAACATCGATGAGAGAGAAACATTGACCAGCTGCCTCTTGCACACCCCCTACTGGGGATGTGCCCACAACCAACGTACATGCCCTTGACCGGAATCGAACCTGGGATCTTTCAGTCCGCAGACCCGACGCTCTACCACTGAGCCAAACCGGTTTTAGCTGGAAATATTTCTTATTCTGAGTGCTGGTTACACAGGTGGATAAGTTTAACATTTATTTAGCTTCACACCTATAATACATGTGCTTTTCTGTATATATGCTACACTTTAAAACACACTTAAAAAATGCATTCTACTATTAACCAGAGGATATGAAAGATATTGAGAGTATACCTGGCTTCAGAACTAAAGACAATAAAATCTTAACAAAAAATTCAGTTCTATTTCATAATGTATTTTATTCAGTTCAACTAAAATTGATAGTAGTTCTCAGCTAAGAAGAAGCCCATTTAATCAAACCATCTTACTTGAGTTCTTCTCTTTCCTTCTGACAATTTCCAAGGAAGTTTCCAAATTGGCATGAATGAATGTGTTCATGAATCTGCAGAAGAAACGCTTCATTGAATTCAAAGTCTTGTGGAAACTGTTCAGTCAAATGCCACACACATTCCAAGAACTGAGTAAACACCGGTGAAACTTCCTTTGGGTCTCCATCCAAATGGCCACACCTAACCACCCCCAGAAAAGAAAAAGTTTTTAAAAATGTGCCTCTAAAAGAAATCAATTGTTCAGGTGTTGTTAAATTTAAACAAACATAAAGAAAAAAACCAAAAACCTTAAAATACTGTGCCATTGCAGAAAAATTTGTAATGTTTTTATTGAAACAATTTATACCTAAGTTTTTCAACCACAATTTTAAAGCATCTATTACCTTTTACCTACTACAATCAAGATAAACAGGAAGGTTAATAACTTGCCTGAAAATTAACAGAGATATGAGAATTGAAATAACAACAAAAATTAATCTTCATACAAAAAAAAATCACACTCTCACCTCCTACTGGACATACAAGTTCATGAAAAACAGAAACATTTTGGCATTCTAAACTATTTTTTCTAATTTTTAAAAATATGTACATATATAACAGTGACTCACCTCTCTGAAAATTTATGTCCAAAGGAGATCCAATCCTTTTCTATTAAAACCTTAATGAAAAACAAAAAAATGAAAAAAAGTAAAATCTACATGTAACTACTTTCAAATATTTTTGTTTAGAATGAATTAAATCCTATTATCTTAAAAACTGCATTTACAGGTTGCAAACAAAACAAATGTTTTAAGATTATAGGCAAAAGATAGCAAGAACCTAGATTAGAGGTTGATTTAACAGTGAAGATGATCCATAAAAAGAAACACAGGAGTCTTATAACAAATTATTTTTACTGTATTTATTACATTTCAAGTGAAAAATGTGTTATAAAGCACTGCTGCATTTCCATTTTTGTATGCATAATGATTTTTGCCAAGAGAAAGGGCTAAGAAATGTAAAAAATGTTAACAGTGGTTAACTGTGGATAGTAGACTCCAGTTACATTTTACTTGTACATTACTTGTACAAGTAACCGCTGGTCTACCTGCCTGCCTGATTGCCCCTAACCACTCTACCTTTTCGCTTACTTGTACATTACTTATATAATAGTTAAAAAAAATGATAAAGAGCCCTGGCTGGTGTAGCTTAGTTAGTTGAGCATTGCCCCATGCACCATAAGGTTGTTGGTCCTATTCCCTATTCGCACATGCCCAAATTGCAGATTCAGTCCTCAGTGGGTGGCAACCGGTCAATGTTTCTCTTTCCCTCTCTCTCTAAAATAAATGAAAAAATCCATATATTTTAAAAAATGATAAAGAGAGCACCGAAAAATTTGTATTCAAGTTCCAATGTTAATATCTAACCTCTTGAATGGATTGTATCTGTTTTCTGTTTGAAATAACAGGACTATCTAACTAACCTAAACAACTTACCTTCTTAGTATTTAATATACCTCATAATTTAATTTATAATCACCAAGTATATTTTTTTTAATTAAATTATTATTTTAACATTGCCCCTCCTTCCCATACATATCCTCCCCTCCCCAGAGTTTTGTGTCCATTGGTTGTACTTATATGCATGAATACAAGTCCTTCAGTTGATCTATTATCTCCCCCCCCCCAATCTCTCTACCCTACCTGCTGTAATTTGACAGACTACTTGTTGCTTTACTGTCTCTATCTTTTGGTTCATCAGTTTATAATGTTCTTTATTATCCATAAATAAGTGAGGTCATGTGGTGTTTCTCTTTCATTGACTGGCTTATTTCACTCAGCATGATGTTCTCCAATTTCATCCAGGTTGCTGCAAATGAAGAGAATTCTTTCTTTTTTATGGCAGCATAGTATTCCATTATGTAGACATACCAAAGTTTTTGGATCCAATCATCTGCTGATGGGCACCTAGGCTGTTTCCAAATTCTAGCTATTGTAGATTGTGCTGCTATGGACATAGGGGTGCATATATCCTTTCTGATTGATGTTTCTAGTTTCTTGGGATATATTCCTAGGAGTGGGATTACTGGGTCAAATGGGAGTTCCATTTTCAGTTTTTTGAGGAAACTCCATACTGTTCTCCACAGTGGTTGCACCAGTCTGCACTCCCACCAGCAGTGCACGAGGGTTCCTTTTTTTCCACAACCTCACCAACACTTGTCGTTTCTTGATTTGTTGATGTTGGCCATTCTGACAGGTGTGAGATGGTACTGCATTGTTGTTTTGATTTGCATCTCTCCGATAATTAGTGACTTTGAGCATGTTTTCATGTGCCTTTTGGCCTTCCTTCTGTCTTCTTTTGAAAATATTCTATTTAGGTCCATTGCCCATTTCTTAATTGGATCATTCATCTTCCTTTTATTTAGTTGTATAAGCTGTTTGTAGATGTTAGAGATTAAACCTTTATCAGTGGTAACATTTGCAAATATGTTCTCCCACACAGTGGGCTTTCTTGTTGTTTTGTTGATGGTTTCTTTTGCTGTAAAAAAGCTTTTTATTTTGATGTAGTCCCATTTGCTTATTTTCTCTTTAGCTTCCATTGCCCTAGGGGCAGCATCAGTGAAGAAGTTCTTTTGGCATGTCTGAGATTTTGCTGCCTGTGGATGCTTCTAGTATTTTTATGGTTTCCCGTCTGATGTTTAAGTCCTGTATCCATTTTGAGTTTATTTTTATGTATGGTGTAAGTTGGTGATCTAGTTTCATTCTTTTGCATGTATCTGTCCAATTTTCCCAACACCATTTATTGAAGAGGCTGTCTTGACTCCATTGTATATTCGTGCCTCCTTTGTCAAATATTAATTGAGCATAGTGATTTGGGTTGATATACCAAGTATTTTCTTTTCAGTGTCTAAATTGCCACTTTTAACTTCTCTAATTTAATGTTAAATTTCTCAGAAGGCTATATAATGGGATGAGTGAAAATGCAGTTTCTGGAGTCAGAATGCATGCACTCAAGTCCTAACATCACCACTTTCTTACATGTGTGACCTCAGGTACATAACTTTCAGGCTGTAACCTCAGATTTTACTATGAGCCTCCTGCCATTTTTCTACACACCAACATCTTAACACTTAAAATCTTTCTCACTAAACTTATTCCTCTGCTCTTCTCCTGGAAGAGTAGGAGAACAGCACCATCCATCCTAACAACTGAGTTCCTAGCCTGGAAATCATCCTAGAAGAGGACTCCTCTCATGTACCCCACATCTATCCATGAACAGCTTGAGTTATCACAATAGTTCCTACACTGGTCTCCTAGCCTCCATTCCCACTCCCCTCTTCCTTCAAGGCACCAAACCATTTTTTTAAAGCCCTCTACTGGTTCTCACTACCTACATTCTAGTTTTCTCTTCCTCAGGCACCTATCTCCCTATATTTTTCTGCACCCAAGTCCCTAGTCCCCAAAACTCATGCATGTTTAATTCCATGCAGTCCCAGAGCTAATCTTTAACTCTCACTGCTCCTTTTGCCTGGGACACTCTCTCATTGTCCCTGGATCATGTATAATAATAAAAGCGTAATATGCTAATTAGACCCGACAGCTGAATGACCTTCCAGACTTCATTCTGGAGGTCCTACTGGATGAAGCCACAGTGGTGGGGGCAAGGTAGAGGCTGTTAGGGGTGATCAGGCAGAGCGGTTAGGGGCCGTCAGATAGACAGGCGAGTGGTTACGGATGATCAGGCAGGCAGGTGAGCAGTTAGGGGCAATCATGCAGGCAGAGGCAGAGGCAGTTAGAGGTGACCAGGCACGCAGGCAAGTGGTGAGGGGCGATCAGGCAGGCAGGCAGAAGAGGTTAGGGGTAATCAGGTAGGTAGGCAGGCAAGCGGTTAGGGGGAATCAGGTAGGCAGGCAAGTAGTTAGGTAGGGGTGATCAGGCAGGCGAGCAGTTAGGGGCCATGAAACAGGCAGGCACGTTAGGGGCCATCAGGCAGGCAAGTGAGTGGTTAGGGGTGATTAGGCAGGCAGGTAGAGTGGTTAGGGGCAATTAGGCAGGCAGGTAGACCAGCAATTAGGAGCCAGCAGTCCTGGATTGCAAAAGGGGGCAGGGCAGGCTGAAGGAGCCCCACCTCCCCAGCCCCATGCACGAATTTCATGCACTGGGCCTCTAGTGTATTACATGATTTAATTTGGATGTCTAAGAAACACATTAAAAACAAACATGGCAAAGAAAATATTCCTTATCTTACACTCTCAAAGTAAGCAGAGCATTATTTTATTAACAGCACTTCCATTTACCCTATCCCAAATTCAATATGTTAACACTGCCACATAATGTTATAGGGACCTAGTGATGTTAAATCTTCCCTTGCTTTAAGATGGCACTATATTTAATAATTCTAAACTAATGAAAATTTTCTCACATCTCTTTATTTACTTGTCATGAGTTAAGATATAAATTTTGAAAAAAATGAGTTAATATTAAAAACAAACAAGCCCTTCCAAAACAGGTTTGGCTCAGTTGATAGAGCAACAGCCCGCAGACTGAAAGGTCCCAGGTTCGATTACGGTCAAGGGCGTGTACACTGGTTGCGGGCACATCCCCAGTATGGGGTGTGCAGGAGGCAGCTGGTCGATGTTTCTCTCTCATCGATGTTTCTAACTCTCCCTCTCCCTTCCTCTCTGTAAAAAATAAAAAAATAAAATAAAAAAATAAAAAAATAAAAAAATAAAAAAAAAACCCAGTCAGTGTTCCTCAGTGGATTATGTCCCATGCATCAAGAGGTTACTAGCTTCATTCCTGGTCGGGAAAATGCCTGGTTTGTGCATTTTGTCCCCCACTAGGGGAGTGTGCGGAAGACAGCTGATCAATGTGATGTTTCTCTCTTATCAATGTTTCTATCTCTCTTTCCTTTCCTCTCCTCTAAAAATCAATAAAAAACATATTTAAAAAAACCAAAACAGAAGGCAGGGCTTTAGCTTCACAAAGCAAAAAATATGTTCAATTAGAAATTTAATCTTCAGATATAAAACATGCTTCGGAACATGTAACTACAGTTAACAAATGAAGCAGTATGAACAAAGTTTTTTCTAGAATATAATTTTTAAGTATCGCTATTTCCTTGTTTTACTATATTACTCAAATTTATTAGATAAATATAAGGGGAAATACTGAATATTTCTATTGTAACATTTTAGGAAAAAAATTTTAAATCTGAAACTTTTTGTCAAAAGGTGGCACAAATGAAAATCACTCTAACTCCAGATTTCTCAACATCAGCACATTGTGCCAGGTAACTTTGTCTTAGGGCTGTCCTGTACAATATGATATTTAGTAGCATCCTGGGGTCTATCAGCTAACCCTTTCTGTTGTAACAATCAAAATTGTCTCCTAACATTATCCAATGTCTCCTATGGGAGGACCACTGGTCTAGCCAAATACAGTAAAACATCAATTTAACAGGCTAATTCAAGTGAGGGAGTGTCTATTAAAACAGAAAGTCTGTTATATAATAAAAAAGGTTTTCTAAATGTATGTTAAAAAATTGACAAATTAGTTTACCTGTTTTTACTTATATAGACACATTTGTATGATTAAAATTAAGAAGATACGACAAGTTAAATTTCATAGAAAAGTCTCCTATGTGTATTACTATAATTTTAAGTTTATACTGAGCAGATTTAGTAAATGCATTCACCAGTCACTGAGAGTAAACAAATGCACATGGCTGGGGTGTGGTTTAGCACACATGGGAACTTCAGCTGGCACATGTTAAAACTGCTGCAGAAAGTCATGTCACACAACAACAGAACCAAGTAACATGGGCAATGCTGTGAGATCACATGCTAATCATTTCCTGAACATTATTTATAAGCAGTGACTCTTGGAATTTAAATATGTAAACTATAGCTGTAGATATGTAATATTTACTAATGTTGACAAAATTACTACAGTGTTTTTTCCAACATATGGCTTACTAAAATTTGTTAATAACAGTGAATTAATAGCAAAAAATTTTAGTAATAACAGTGAGTTAATAACAAAAAAATAACCTGTTAATTTGATTATAAGTAAATCTTGGTTAAAAAAAATTTTTAAATTAGCAGGGTGTTAATTTTCACATATGACATTCAGACTGGAAATTTTGTCTGTTAAATCAGAAGTCCATTAAGTTGAGGTCAGCAAAATCCAGGGTTTACTCTAACTCCTTACCATGAATCCTTTGACTGTTCTGTAGTAGGAATCCAATAAAAGAGAGCCAAGAGAACAAACCTGGGAAGTTCTATCCCAGCCATCAGAACAATGAACCAACACACTTGCATTTTCCACCATTATTGCCTGAAAAGAAAGATCACACACTTAGATTCTAACAGAATACATTTAAGTGAATCATTAAGTTCTACTTACTAAAAAACCATTAAGTATCTATACTAATAAAAGGGTAATATGCAAATTGGTCAGGATGCCCTCACAGTAACAACTAAACAGCAGGCTGTGTGGGGCGACCAGGCCAGAAGAGGGGGGCAGTAAGGAGTGACCAGGTCAGCAGGGGGGCAGTTAGTGGTGATAATGCAGGCAGCAGAGGGGGCCAGTGAGGGGCTACGAGGACATCAGGGGAGGAAGTTGGGAATGACCAGGCCAGGGGGGGGTGTCGTAGTTGGGGGTAACTGGCTGGCGGGGGGGGCGGGGGGATAGGAGGGCAGTTGGGGGCAACCAGGCTGGCAGGGGGGGCAGTTGAGGGCAACCAGGCAGCCAGTTAGGGGTGATCAGGCAGACAGGTGAGCAGTTAGGAGCCAACAATCCCAGATTGTGAGAGGGATGTCTGACTGTTGATTCTAAACTGGCAGTTGAACATCCCCCAAAGGGTCTCAGATTGGAGAGGGTGCAGGCTGGGCTGAGGGGATCTCCCCCATGCACAAATTTTGTGCACCGGGCCTCTAGTCCTATATAATAAAAGCCTAATATGCTAAGTGTCTGATCATTCATTTGACTGTTTCACTAGTTGCTATGTTGCGCACTGACCACCAAGAAGCAGATGCTCGACTGGTAGGTTAGCTTGCTGCTGGGGTCTGGCCAATCAGGACTGGGTGAGATGGGCCAGACACACCCTGGAGCCCTCCCTCGGTCCCTCCCCAGCCTCCAAAATATTTCCTCCAATTAATTTCCTTTCAATGTGCACAAATCCATTCACCAGACCTCTAGTTGCATTATAAAGAAGAGCTAGTACTGTAATGATAATGCTATCTCAATACAATTTCTCAGAAACAAGATAAAACACAAAGCATATAAACAAAAATAAGAAGACAAACATGCTCTTTAAAGTGTTTGAAATGTTTTTAAGTCCATACATTAAGTGCTCAATGGTATTTTTAAAGCTCAAATTAAATGAACCTCATTAAAGAGGTAAAGCAAAATAAAAATTATATGTCTGGAAAAGGTACCAGCACTCAATAAATTCATTCCTTCCCAACCATTATAAACCCCAAGATCAAATATAAGCGACGAAGAGTTACTTTGGCTAAGAAGATTGCAGCATCCATGACAGCTTTGATATGGCGAAGCCATCCTGAGCTCTCCAAACCAGAGTAGAAATCATTGACAGAAAGCCCTTTGGTACCATTAACTAAAAAGAGGGGGAAAAAACATTTCAATTAGAATGGGCTAGCCTCCTTTCTCCTATTCAAGATTATCTCTAGATGAGTAAACTGGGGAAGAGAGAACAAAATAAATAGGCAAGACTCTTTATAAATGAAAAGATGCTATTAGAAATTCAGTAACAGATTCTTTTGTTATATTTTGCTATCATTCCTTGTGGTTAAAAAAAGCACTCCTATTTCATTTTTTTAAAAAATTTGCAGTGTTTAATTAAAAAGTCTGATATTTTAATTTTTTAAATTCCATACCATGACTAGAAAAATATCTTAATATTTAAATGGAACATTATCATAAATTAGTCTAAATTGCATTGACACATCAAGAATATCTAACAATAGCCCTAACCGGCTTGGTTCAGTGGATAGAGCTTCGGCCTATGGACTGAAGGGTCCCAGTTTCGATTCCGGTCAAATGCATGTACCTCTCTTGCATGAACAACCCCAGTTGGGGTTGTGCAGGAGGCAGCTAATCATTGTTTCTCTCTCTTCGATGTTTCTAACTGTCTATCCCTCTCCCTTCCTCTCTGTTAAAAAATCAATGATATATATATTTTTAAAAAGAGTAACAATAGTAATCTATACTAATAAAAGGGTAATATGCTAATTAGACCAGATGTCTTCTAGACCAAGACACAGTGGCAGGGGCCAAGGCAGAGGACATTAGGAGTCATCAGGCCAGCAGGGGGAGGCAATTAGGGGCAATCAGGTTGGCAGGGGAGAGAAGTGAGGGGAGATCAGACTGGCAGAGGAGGGCAATTAGAGGCGATCAGGTAGGCAGGAGAGGGCAGTTAGGAGCAATCAGGCCAGCAGGAAAGGGCAGTTAGGGGCAATCAGGCCAATAGGGGAGGGCAGTTAGGGGTTGATCAGGCCGGCAGGAAAGCAGTTAGGGGGCAATCAGACTGGCAGGGGAGCAGTTAGAGGGCGATCAGGCCAGCAGGCAGAGGCAGTTTGAGGCCATCTGGCATGCAAGCAGGCTAGAGGTTAGGAGCCAGTGGTTCTGGATTGCAAAGGGGATGTCTGACTGCTGATTTAGGCCTGATCCCAAACCGGCAGTCAGACATTACCCAAGTGTTCCCAGATTGCAGAGGGTGCAGGCTGGGCTGAGGGACACTCTGTGCACGAATTTCGTGCATCAGGCCTCTAGTTTTTATAAAAACTATTAGCATTGTACTATCTAATACAGTAGCTACTACCCAAATATGGCTATTGAATACCTGAAATGTAGATAGTCCAAATTGAGATGTACTGAAAGTATAAATTGTCTAAGACTTAAAGGCAAAAATGTAAAGTAAATCATCACAAGTTTTTTATACTGATTACATGTTTAACATGTTTTTAATATATTAGGTTAGGTATATTATTAAAATTAATATCAATTGTTTCTTATTACTTTTTTAAATGTGACTACTAGAAAATTTCAAAGTACATAATTTAATATTTTTAATGTTTGACTAGCATATTTCTATGGAATAAGGCTGACTAGAAGATAAGCAATAATCATACCTTCCAATAACTTCTGAAGGCTGGACCGCATGACATGAATATTTTCAATTCCAACAAATTGAAATCTAATATTAGAATAATTGTCTTCATTTTCATAACCTTTTCCAGCTGCTCTGTTGGCTATTGCATTCAGCTAAAAATTTAAGTTTTAGAAATTTAGAGACAAATTGCTTTTATCCAATAACTTATCAAAATATCATGAAAACAATAAACTATATTTTAGCTAGCAGACAATTTAAAGGAATTCACCACAATTAAATATACTACCATTTATTAATAAGCAAAAGTCTCGCCCTGGTCTGTGTGGCTCAGTTGGTTAAGCATCATCCTGTGCACCAAAAGGTTGCCAGTTCAATTCCCAGTCAAGGAACATGCCCATAATAAAGGTCTGATCCTGGGGCAGGCAATCAATCAATGTCTCTCTCACATTGATATCTCTCTCTCTCTCTCTCTCTCTCTCTCTCTCTCTCTCTCTCCCTTCCTCTCTTCAATAAAAACATAAAAAATAAGTTAATAATAGCAATGAAGGATACTATAAAGAAACAATATGATTGCTATATATTTGAAAGGTCAAACAAGAAGTTCCCCACAAATAATTCATGAAACTAATTCACTTAGGTCAGTGGTCGGCAAACTCATTAGTCAACAGAGCCAAATATCAACAGTACAATGATTGAAATTTCTTTTTTTTAAAAATATATTTTATTGACTTTTTACAGAGAGAAAGGGAGAAGGATAGAAAGCTAGAAACATCAATGAGAGAGAAACATCGACCAGCTGCCTCCTGCACACCCCCCACCGGGGATGTGCCTGCAACCAATGTCCATGTCCTTGACCAGAATCGAACCTGGGACCTTTCAGTCCTCAGACCGACACTCTATCCACTGAGCCAAACTGGTTTCGGCAAAATTTCTTTTGAGAGTCAAATTTTTTAAACTTAAACTTCTTCTAACGCTACTTCTTCAAAATAGACTTGCCTAGGCCATGGTATTTTGTGGGAGAACTCAGGAGGCCAAAGAGCCGCATGTGGCTCGTGAGCCACAGTTTGCCAATTATGGTCTTTAGGTGTTCATAAATATTTCAAAATCTAAAACTAGAAAGATCTCCTATCTGAATCCTAAATGATTCAGAGAGAAGCAGAGCTGGGTAGTTTTTATTTTTCAGAATGAAGCTATGAGATTCAATTCAGAATAAGCCTAGAGCACTTTATCATTCACAAAGCCACAGGGATCCTAAAATTCAGATCTGAAATATACATGAGATTATTTTAGGTCCTCCATATTAGAGACTGCTAGAGGCCCACACATTATATAAAATGCATATAATCCATTAACTTGATACAGCTCTAAGAAATGGTTCCAAAGAAATTGGAAAAACCACTTTATGGAAAAACAGACTGCCAGTAGCCCCATGACCTTTAGTGTTTACATCAATGCTATTAAGATTTGCCATGTTGCTGAAACTGGTTTGGCTCAGTGGATAGAGCGTCGGCCTACGGACTGAAAGGTCTCGGGTTCGATTCCGGTCAAGGGCATGTACCTTGGTTGCGGGCACAGCCCCAGTGGGGGGTGTGCAAGAGGCAGCTGATCAATGACTCTCTCAACGATATTTCTAACTCTCTATCGCTCTATCTTCCTCTCTGTAAAAAATCAATAAAATATATATATAAAAAAATTTTGCCATGTTTAATTCTTTAAGACTAATTTCATATAGCATATTATTACAATTTACTAAATATTCTTATGTACTTGGATAAAACAGAACCTAAATTTTAGGAAAAAATAGTAGCTTATCATTCATTGGATTGAGGTTGGCAACAAGTACAGTTAAATTATATTTAATGACTCATTGGTTACTCAGCACCTATGATTACTAGGATTATGTGTGTGTGCAAGGGCCATGTAGTTCTGCAAAGTTTGAAGCATGTTTCGGGTTATCAGTTTGTTCATTGTCTTTTTTGTTTTTTTTTTAAATATATTTTATTGATTTTTTACAGAGAGGAAGAGAGAGGGATTGAGAGTTAGAAACATCGATGAGAGAGAATCAGCTAATGATTAGATATTTAAAATGTTCTACATTATTACTACTTGAGTTTAACTGGTAAAACAAAAAAATCAAAGAAAGATATATTTTTTCTGTAGAAGTCAGTTATACAATTAAGACATATTAGGTCCTAAGAAAATTACCCTCAGATCTTATATTTAAAAAGTCTTGTATTACAATCATCTTTTATATCTAATAGCACCATAAAAATAGTTCCAACCAATTAATCATCCCAGATTATACAAGGAAGTAAAATTTTTCTTATAAGAGATAATACCAACACTCTTGACTTCTAAGAAAAGTCTTTTCCTTTTAACAAATATTACCAAAGTATCAGCTTCTAATTTTTAATACTCCTTAATTTACTAAAATTAATCTTATATGTTTTCTCCATTATCTTTTGTAAGACTGCATAATGATGAGAATTACTTCTAAAACAACTACCATTCCTTTCAAAAAGGCTGTCTATAATTGTGGTCTATATGGCTCACTCGCTTTTTCTCATCGCTTTCTCTTATTTTTTCATCATTCCAGATTTTTGAAGAAATCCTCACTATAATTCTGCCAATGTCCTTTTGTGTAGCCCACCAGCTCTGCTTGCGATGCTATAATAAAAATTAAGAGTAATGTTAGCTATGACTATTGCAGATTTTAATTATTGTAGTTTTAGGATCCTATATGAATTGGCTATTTAATTGTGTTTATAAAAAAGAAAAAATGGATTGTGACATTTGATAAAAATTTAACCTTACACAATGGATGGCTAACAGAACAATTATTTCCTGTTCATTGTTTATGATTCTTTAGTTCAATGTTTCCTAAATTAACTCACTATATATTTCACGTATTTTCTTACATATTTCAAATTTAGGTCCATTAATACACAATGTATTGAAATTGAAATTATAACAGAATTGCTAACTTTTCACAATGCACAAACTATTTAGTATTTTTTCACAGTAACATAATACTTTTATACCATCAATAGACATATATATATTTAGGAAAGCAGAAATAAGAAATCACCATCTGGGCTACTGGGAAATTAGTCTCCTAAGTTGGTATCCTTTAAAAAATTAATTTCCTTAGTATGATTACCCTGGGTTAATTTAAAACAAGGATTCAGTATGTTAAATGAGAATAAATTAATCAACTCTTATTAATTAAAGTAACAAAGATAACTGAGGTAACAAACTATACTGTATTCAAGGCACATACTTTAGGCCTGGTATCCACGACATACATATAGCGATTGGCTGGATTGGCTTTACTAATGGCTTGAAGCAAATGTTCATCTTCTAGACACCTGGCACTGAATCCTGACAGTGGTTGACTACATCGACAAATGGCAGCCTAATTTAAAAAAGACAGAAAACAGATTATGCAAAGATATCTAAAACATCCTACTTTATAAAATAATAATATGCAAATTAACCATCACTCTGCTCAAGCCACACCCACCAGTCAATCAGAACGAATATATAAATTAACCCCAGCCAAGATGGCTGCAGCCACAGAGAGCAGTTGAGAGAGGCTTGGGTTTCCCTGGCAACAGAAGCCAAGCTTTCCACACACCCTGGCCGGCCAAGGCTTCCACTAAAGGCTATAAAGTTTCAATTATATTATAGAAGATACATAAAACCAAACAGAAATGGCTAGGCCACAGAGTGAGCAGGGGGCTATGCTCGCTCCAGGCTACAAAGTTTCAATTGTAGAAGGTAAATAAATTCCAGATACCAGGGCCTCTGCTTGGGTTGCCAGGGGGCGTGGCTGGCCTGCAAACTACCACAGGCCCCTCGCCCAGGCTGCCCCACCCCTCAAGGGAATCCCCACCCTGATCTGGGACACCATTCAGGGCAAACCAGCTGGCCCCCACCCATGCACCAGGCCTCTATCCTATCTAATAAAAGAGTAATATGCAGATTGACTATCACTCCAACACACAATATGGCTGCCCCCATGTGGTCAAAGAAGCTGCCCCCATGTAGACACAAGATGGCCACCACAAGTTGGCCAGCAGGGGAGGACAGTTGGGAGGCACCAGGCCTGCAAGGAAGGGCAGTTGAGAAGGACCAGATATTCAAGGGAGGGCAGTTGGAGGTGATTAACCCTACAGGGAAGGGCAGTTAGGGGTGACCAGGCTGGCAGAGGAGGAAAGTTGGGGGCAAATAGGCTGGTAGGGGAGCAGTAAGACATTAGTCAGGCTGGCATGGGAATGGTTAGAGGGTGATAAGGCTGGCAGGCAGAAGCAGTTAGGGGCAATCAGGAAGGCAGGCAGGCAAGCAAGCAGTCCTGGATTGTGAGAGGGATGTCCAACCACACTGGGATCGGGTCTAAACGGGCAGTTTAACATCCCTTGAGGTGTCCCAGATTGGAGACAGGGCTGAAGGACACTCCCCTACCCCGTTCATGAATTTCGTGCACCGGGCCTCTAGTGTCTTATAAAATGCTTAAAAGAAAAAAAAGTTAAAATCAAATGTATTGTCTGTTTAAAAGTTGGCAGAACAATTACAAGGCATTAACACTGAAATCTTATTTGAACTAAATATTATTTCAATGTCTTGGTATTACTTAATTTTTCCCAATATTCTAAGAAATCTAAATGCCTCCTTACCTAGTTGGGGGGGAAAATACCTTGGGTCCTTAGAAGCAACACCTGGTCGAATCTCTATCACCTATCTGAAGATAACTTGCTTTCTATGTGCTAGATCCATGGTCGGCAAACTGCGGCTCATGAGCCACATTCGGCTCTTTGACCCCTTGAGTGTGGCTCTTCCACAAAATACCACAGCCTGGGAGAGTCTATTTTTAAGAAGTGGTGTTAGAAAAAGTTTAAGTTTAAAAAAATTTGGCTCTCAAAAAAAATTTCTATCATTGTACTGTTGATATTTGGCTCTGTTGACTAATGAGTTTGCCGACCACTGTCCTAGATTACAAGATACTTTCAACTCAATTTCAAGTAAGAAATCAGTCAATAAGTTCAGAACAGGATTTTTTAAAATAGCAAGCAACATTTAAACTTTTACTTTCTAAAAGTTTGTGGGTCTTTAATTAGAAGTCAGCAATCTACATTAATAAAATAAAATATGCAAATTAATCATACCTCTGCTAACCAGCCAATCAAGAGTGAGTATGCAAATTAACCTAAGAAAGATGGCGGCAGTCCCAGCCCCCAGCTGATCCAGGCCTGTAGGAGTTGGAGAAGTTGGGCCCCAGTGCCTAAGGCTGGCTGCGGCCAAGGAGATCAAGAAGCCACCTGCCCCATGATTCCAGGCCACAACCAGCAACAGAAGTCTCATGGCCACCCGTCCCACATCCTGGAGGAGACAGAGAAACCGGGCCCCAGCACCTGAGGCTGGCTGCAGCCCAGGAAACGAAGAAGCCACCTGCCCTGTGATCCCAGGCCGCAGCCAGCAGCAGAAGCCTCAAGCCTTCCCACCCCACGTCCTGGGGGAGACCCCACTTTCTTGGGAAGATGGAAAAACTGGGTGCCAGCACCTGAGGCTGGCTGCAGCCTGGGAGATGAAGAAGCCGCCTGCCCTGTGATCCCAGGCCACAGCCAGCCGGAGAAGTGCCTGCTGTCCAGCCGCCAGCACCTGCGGCTGGCTGTGGCTGGGAGACAGAGAAGCCGCCCACCCTGCAGTCCCGAAACCAGTACCTGCGGCTGGCTGTGGCTCAGGAGACAAAGAAGCTGCCCACCCCGTGGTCCCAGGCACCAGCACTTGCGGCTGCAGCCCAGGCGAAGCCACCTGCCCACCATCCCCTGAGGCTGCAGCCAACCTGGGGACCTATGGCTGACCAAAGGGAGGGAGGCCCAGATCCCAGGTGCCTGTGGTCAGCTAGAAGAGGGAATCCTGGGTTCCGGTGTGGGCTGAGGCAGAGGTAGGTAGGGGTAATCAAGCCAGCAGGAGAGCAAATAGGGACGATCAGGCTGGTAGGCAGAAGCAGTTAGGGACAATCAGGTAGGCAGGTGAGTGGTTAGGAGCCAGCAGTTCTGGATTGTGAGAGAGATGTCTGACTGCCAGTTATACCCCGAGGGGTCCCAGATTGGAGAGGGTGTAGACTGGGCTGAGGGACACCCTTTCCTGCCCTCCCCCCCCCCATGCACAAATTTTATGCACCAGGCCTCTAGTCTCCATATAAAATGAGACATAAACTGAGTTTTAAATCAAATTTGGGTAAAAATACTCTCAATCTAAGAGGGCAAAAATATCTGTAAGAAATAGTGAATGTTGGATTAGATATTTATTGTTGTTTAAAGTTAAAACACACATACACACACACACACACACAAAAAAAAAAACACAACCTCACAAAGGATTGTCTTATTTAATGTTTTCCAGACCTACTTCCTGATTTGTTAAGCTGGGCATTGAGTGTCTATCTTTAGCCCAGATTTCTAATTAAAAATGTATATACAAATATGGGTGTGTCAAACAAAAGCCATAACTAGTCCTAACTCCCTAATTTTGTTATGAAAAGTAAATTAGGAACTTTTGTGTAAAGTTTTACTTATTAAAAAAAAAAAAGTTTTACTTATTATTATTGCTCCCTTCTAAAATCCACCTTGAATTTCTAATAAAGAAATTTAATATGTATTAAACCAAAAGGCCAAAGAAAATGGGAAAAGAAGCAAAGGTAGAGTAGAAATGTCAATAAAAATTGGGGAAATGAATGCAGATTGATTATAACTGATTTACCAGAGCAAAGAAATATGTTAAATCATTATGAGTCAATAAGAATCAGGTATTTTGAACAGCAAAATCCCAACAGGCTCAGGATTTGGTACCTCTGAAAGCCTGAGTACAGGAAAAATTGAAAACAACGGAACTGGCTAAACATCTATAGATGATCTAGTCAACACCAGATGTTCCCTCACCCTGAAGAAAAAGTTTGTTCTATGAAGAGGATTAACTGGAGACTCTGGGCTATAGGAACAGCTGTAGTTGGGGATGAAGTCCTGCATCCCCTAAACTCAGGAGGATTAAGTAAAGTCTACATAACAAAATGTGAGGTCTTCCCATCCCTCTTCCCATACTCTGATCCAGTCTAAACTACACACACAAAGGGAAAAACCTGACAAGAGAAAGAAGAATCCAAAGATAACAATCAATCATGTATACAAACTTCTAAACAGCTTTGTAGTACCTCACTCTTAAATATGAGAGGCAGGCCAAGAATCAGAAAAACAAACTAACAAAACAAAAAAAAAAACCTAACAACAAAACACACAAAATAAACAGAAAGGAAAAAAAAGAAACTAAACAAAAAGATAACTAATGTGAGGGCACAAGAATTCTTTTTTAAAAAATCCTTAGCATCTTAAGAAAAGTAAGTTCATCACATCCATGAATAGAAAACCATCTAGAAAGTTCAGAAAACAAGAAACAGTTCTTGGATTTTTAAAACACAGCAAACCGGCCAGTGTGGCTCAGTTGCTGAGCATCGACCTATGAACCAGAAATCACAGTTTGATTCCCAGTCAGGGCACATGCCCAGGTTGAAGCCTCTATCCCCAGTGGGAGGGATGCAGGAGGCCAGCAGGTCAGTGATTCTCTCTCATCACTGATGTTTCTATCTCCCCCTCCCTCTTCCTCTCTGAAATCAATAAATATATATATATTTTAAAACACTATAGCAAAACAAAACAAAACAAAACAAAACAGATCTAAGCACTGAATTGGGGGTGAGTTTCAGGAAATCTTCCCCACTACCCTGAACCTTGTGGTGAGACTTACAGACATGTCCAAGCATAGAATATTGGAGAAAAAATGAAGAAAAATGAAGGTTTATGTTAGGAAACCCAATTGTCAAGTAATACTCACAAAAGTATTAAGAAAATTAATAAAAGAGAAGAAGTTACCAAAGAAATAAAGAAGCAACTTCCCAAAACTGAGACCTGAATTTCCAGGTAGAATTTAAAACAAGCCAAGGCACACTGTGAAATTTTAGAACACTGCAGAAAAAGAAGAGTTTAAAAGCTTCCTGAGGGGAAAAAATCAGGTCACAAAAAACTGGGAGTCAGAAATGGCTTCCAAATACTCATCTTACCAGCTGTGAGATTTAGGAAAAGTGATTATCCTTTCTGAACCAATTCCCCCATTTGAAAGTTATAGGTAATTAGCAGAACCTATTTTTATCAAGTTACTAGGAGGATTTCATACATATAAAGTATTCAACATATAGTACCTCCTGGCCTATTGTTACAGGATACAAAGGTTTTACTACATTGTCAATCCCTATCTCAGTATAAAGGTGCCTCCTCTGCCTCTTCATATTGCAAAATCCTTCCAATTTGAAGAGCTTACTATTAAATGGGAGCCTGAAATATCCTTGATTCTCTCCCTTTTCTCAATAGTTGGTTTGTCAAAAATATTTGGTTTCCCCCAATTCAAGCAGGATCAAAAGATAACCACAGGCAAGGAAGAGAATCTATCTAATCCCATTATTTTCAAGTCACTACTAGAAGGAAGGAAAGACTAGAGGTGGTGGAGGGGGAAGATAGATGACAAGTACAAAAGTTTCCGTGTATCAGGATAATTTTGTTGTAAAATACAAAAAAAAAAAAAAAAATCATTGAGTGAAAAGCCAGCACTTCTTTATCAGCAATATTAAAATAATGACATCTTAATATGAAAATGAGCATTGTTTTGGATACTAAAACCTGAAAAGGATTATACTACATTAGAGACCCGGTGCACGAAAAGTCATGTACTGGGGGAGGGGGGCGTCCCTCAGCCCGGCCTGCACCATGGCCTGAGATCAGGGCCTATTAGGGCTTTCCTTCCCTGGGCTGCAGGCAGCTGGCCCCACACCTGCCGCTGCCACTGCTTGCCATCTGTGCAGCGCTGCCCCACTCCCCTACCAATGGTGGCCTCCCTCTATAGGCAACAGGCTGGGGTGCAATAGCTTGGTTGGCCTGGGCCTCCCTGTTTCTTTGCTTGGGGGTGAGGCCAGCCCCACTAGGGGCTGTCTGCCTACCTGATCTCCCCTAACCGCTGATCTGCCTACCTGATCACCCCTAACCACTCTGCCTGGTTGCCTGATTGCCCCTATCTGCTTGCTTGGGGGCGAGGGGCTGTCTGCCTACTTGATCACCCCTAAGCACTGGTCTGCCTACCTGATCACCCTTAACCCCTCTGCCTGTCTGCCTGGTTGGTCAGCCTCCGGTCATTACTGGTCATTACAACCCAGGGTTTTTATATATTAGGATTGATAAAATCAAAAGGAAAGCTGCCTACCTCCTTATTTTGATGATAGTAGGAAAGAACTGGAAATCTTCCCTTGCTCCGGAACTTAGAACTACCAACAATTATTGGTTTGCTTGCTATTCGGGGAACATAAAGTTCTCTTGGATAAGTTTCACAAATCTGTAAAAATCAAAACATAACCATGAGATTAAAAACCATCTTTATAAAACTTTAAAACTTAGTAACGCAACAACAGCAATATAGAGAGATTTTGCTATTACACTTTCTGGTACTAACTGTTATTAACATTTTCTGAATTTTCCCAGAGGGTTGCTAAGTTACCTTGTATTCTCGGTTGGCATCAGACAACTGCCAGTTTGAATTTGGCACACCCATTCTCTTATATTCCTCAGCAAGGTCAATAAGCTCCCAACCACGCAGTCGTTCAGAATCATTTTGTTTGGGGTTATAAGAGAACGCATAGAGATCTTCGTATTTTGCTAGAGTATACAAAATGAAAAATGTTAAAATGCAATTTATAGGACTTAATAAACGACAAATAAAAGTAATTTTCAGCTTTAACCCTCCATTTTTCTTTAAATTCTTCAAAAAGATGGCTAATTCCAGAACATACTTGAAGTTAAATTTTCTTAGTTCTTTGATGCAAATGATTATATCTAAAGGCATAATTATATCAATCTGAGATTCAACTTATATCATCAGTAAAAGCTAGTAAATAATACAGTTAGACTTACACATTATTCTACTGCAATGTTCCCTTTTCTTAAAAGTAAAATTTTAAAGACACACATAAATTCCTATCCACCACTTTTCTCAAATGAGATATAAAGACTAATGCTATAATGAAAAATTAGAGGTGCCACATAGAACATGAAATTGTCTATATATCCTATAGTACAGTTTGACCAAACATGGCAAAGGTTGCACAGAGATCGAGAGAACACTTACTTCTAAACAATCATAAGCCCCTGAAGTCGTAAGATTTGACTTGGAACAACAGGATAAATGTTACAGGCTTTATGTGTCAGGATAAAAGAGTGAACAAAAATCTGCTCTTAGACCACTACAAAGCAGGTGTCAAACAAAGTAACATCTAAAAATTAATGTGCTTTGTCTCCCTGGAGATTTCTATGTAATTCAAGTTATGCTGGGAAAGAAGCCTCCAGATCCCTAACACATAGTAGTGATAAGATTCCTCTTCAGGGCCTAAATCTTCTTCACTCCTATCTCTATTAAAGTAGGATTTACCCTCTCTTTTCCTTTTGCTCATCTCCCTATATTCCACTCTAGTCAATTAGATATATTAGTCCATGCTATCAGAAGAGCATGACCTTCCTTAACTTTACCTTTAGTGATCAATTCCCAAGACACTCCCTTGGCGATGGGATTCTTTAAGAAACAAATACAAAGACTATGCTACTGGCCATCAACAGACTTCTAAAACATTAATATAAATCTATAGTGTTTTAAGTATGTACTACAAATGCTTCATTTTGTCCTTACTATCATCCCTTCTTTGGAAACCATTATTACAACTCAGATCAGAAGTTTCTAATTGCCGAAACCGGTTTGGCTCAGTGGATAGAGCGTCAGCCTGCGGACTGAAAGGTCCTGGGTTCGATTCTGGTCAAGGGCATGTACCTTGGTTGCGGGCACATCCCCAGTGGGGGCTGTGAAAGAGGCAGCTGATCGATGATTCTCTCTCATCGATGTTTCTAACTCTCTATCCCTCTCTCTTCCTCTCTGTAAAAATAATCAATAAAATATATTTTTTTTAAAGTTTCTAATTACTTTTAGGTCAAATATTTTAGAATAGAGTGCATAAGAATTCAACTCAAGAGCAACTTAGTAAGCCCAGCAGGTGTAGCTCAGTGGTTGAGCATCAAACGAGGAGGTCATGGTTCAATTCCTGGTCATGACATAAGCCCGAGTTGCAGGCTCAATCCCCAGTAGGGGGCATATAGGAGGCAGCAGATTGATGATGTTTCTCTCTCATTGATATTTCCATTTCTCTATTCCTCTCCCTTCCTCTCAAAAAAATCAATAGCAAGATATTTTTTAAAAAAAGAGTAACTTAAACTATAAAATGGCAATAATGAGATACTAAATAAAGTACCTTGGATAAACCATCTCAAAATTGAGCAAACTTTGGTCTCTAAGAACAGTACCTTGTTTTGACAGTTGTAGCAAAGAGTTGTAAATATCATGGCAATCTCTTTCTCTGGGAACAATGAAATGCACAATCCTGAAGTTCTTGCACTGAATGACAAGTGGGCATCCAGAAGTCGTCAAAGCCAGTTTCTCCACTGAGCCAATATGATGATGCAAAATCTACAGCATTAAAAAATAATTTGATCATCATTATAAAAAGCACTAAGTATCTTATTCTCTTCCACAGTGCAAAAATGTTAGAAATGTCCTGTCCAAAAAAGTCTCAAATGTTATACGTACACTACAAAGTCACACTTAAAAAAGTTTTAAGTGACAATGCCCAAGCCAGAAATGTGCCCTGATCACTCCACATATTCACACAGCATTAAATCCCAAGAATTGCATCCCCTAAATATCTCTATAACCTGTCTACTTCTCTCTATCTCTACTATAACTCTCCTAATTGCAATGTTTCCATTATTTCTCATCTAATTACTATAACTATTAACCTAAATGCTCTCTTCATATCCTACTCTTGAATCCCCAATCTGTTTTTTACAAAGCAGACAATTAACCATTAAAAACTCAATTTAAAAAAAATGGCAAAGCTATCTAGTTATTTCTCACTACTCCCATCCTGCTTAGCTTCTGAGATCAGACAAGAGTGGGCACATTCAGGGTGGTATGACTATAGACTTTACCACTGCTCTAGCCTCATTTCAAGTCCCTTCCCCAACATCGTTAAGTTCTAATGACAACAGCCATCTTTGGCTCCTCAAATGAACCAAGGTCCTCTATATACACTCTTCAGTTGCTCCTACTAACTGCGAGATTGTAGCTCTCTACCTCTTCACCTATGAACTTCTAGTGTTATTTCTGGTGTCCGCTTAAAACTCATCACCAAGCCCTAGCCAATTTGACTCAGGAGTTACAGCATGGGCCATGGACTGAAGAGTCTGAGGTTCAATTCTGGTAAAAAAACAAAACAAAACAAAACTTCACCACCGAGAAGTACGTATAGTCTCATAATCACCATGGCCCTTCCCTAGTAAGTTGGGTCCCCTACATTTTCTTATCAAATATCAACCTAAATTCTTCCTTTCATAGCACTTGTAATTTGTTATGTAGTAATGTTTATTTCTCTACTTAAGATTTTAGAAACTTCACCTAAGAAGTAAAACTATAAGTTAAGCACCATTGTATTTCTAGCACCTAACAAAGTACTTGAAACATTATAATGACCATCTTCAAACAAAAACAAAAAAGCATTTCAAGTAATATATATTACACATTCATATTTAAATTTGACTGAGCTGGAAATATAGGTGTCATTGTTGGTAACTTCTCCATCACAAATACTCAATGAATGAATGAATGAATGAATGAATGAATGGAAAGTCCTACTAGAAAGTCAGAACTTGGTGGTATTTGGTACCTAGTACCTAACATATTCTGTGCTACTAAAAAAGATTTCCCTTTGTTCAATAGCATTCCTACTAATTTAAAATATATATAGAAAACTTTATGGAAAATAAAAGATCTTAAAATTGAAGCAGGTTTTTGGATGATAAAACTCAATCCTGGCAAGATATCAAATCATCCCAAATTAGTCTAAAAATTTAACTGAAATTCCAACCTGCAAAAAAAAAAAAAAAAAAAAAAAAAAAAATTCCAACCTGCTTTTTTGGGTAGTATGTATGTGGGAGGAAAGGTAGGGTGAGATATGGATGATTATATTATATATATGTATTATTTAATTAGTGCATGGAGGGGAGGGAGGTGTCCCTCTTCTCAGCTTGCACCCTCTCCAATCTGGGATCCTTCTCACAATCCGGAACTGCTGGCTCCTAACCACTTGCCTGCCTGCCCACCTGATTGACCCTAACTGATTCTGCCTACCAGCCTGATTGCCCCTAACTGCTCCCCTGTCAACCTGATTGACACCTAACTGCTCCCCTGCCGGCCTGATCCCCCCAACTGCCCTCCCCTGCCAGTCTGTTTGCCCCTAACTACCCTCCCCGGCTGGCCTGGTAGACCCCAACTGCCCTCTCCTGCCTGCCTGATCACCCACAAATGTCCCCTGCCGGTCATCTTGTGGCAGCCATCTTGTGACAATGTGGGGGCAGCCATCTTGTGATGACGTGAGGGCGTCGCACAAGGGTGCAAGGGCCAACTGGCTTTTATTAGTATAGATAATTTTATATGCTACTGTTATTCGTTTTTAAAACTTTAGATATTAAGTCTAAAGGTCACATGCAAGATTATATGTATAAAATAAAATTAAAAAAAGCTTGAAGAAAAAAAGAAAAGTTTCAAGGAGAACCAAGATTGTAGCATAGATAAACACAGTACTTACTGCCTTCCACAACCACATCAAAATTACAACTAAAATATAAAACAACCATCATTCAGAACTGCCTGAAATAATCCTGAATGGAAGTTCTACAACTAAGAAGTAAAGAAGAAAGCATATAAATACTGATAGGAGGGTGGAGGCACAGAACAAGTGGGCCCATGTTTGGAATTTTGTTTTGTGATTTTTAATTGGGATGGATATCTCAGTTGTGGAGGCCTGCTGTGAGGTGTAAAGAGTTATAGCTCCATATCAGACATTTCAGCCCAGGATTCCAGTGACAGGATGAGAAGTCCTCATAACTTTGGGCTATACAACTAGCAGGATTGTGGCTGAGTGATAAGGAGGCTGCAGGAGACCCAGGTCTGCCTGGCATATGGGCTTACTCAGACTCATTTCCTCTGAGCTCTAACGCTGGGGTGGCAGTTTGGAGAGATCCAGCGACATATGCAGAGGAACTGGAGTAAGTTCTCAGGAGTAGCTTTCTCCCAAACAGAGTTGCTCAAAGGGTTCATTATTCCTATGCTGAGACCTCCTTCACTGCAGAGCTGACTGGCAGCCATACCAGAGTCTGCATCAACCTGACTCACACTGTTCGATAGCCCTGGTAATTCCGAGAAGCTGGCCCATCCAATTCGCAGTCCCACCCAAGCTGTTTGCAGCGGCTTTTCCATATGAATGGCCTGTCCTGGCTCAGGCTTCAGACTTTCCTAAAATCTCTCAAAGATGCAGCAGCTGGTGTTAGCATGCCCCATACCAATCAGTAAGAGGCCCAAGACCTGGCACCAGCAGCTTAGTCTCATCTGAACACTTCCAAGCGCAACATGAGTAGCAGCACCTGAAGATCTCTCTGTAGCTTCTGCCAGGTGGCCTCAGGCAGTGGCTGACTTTGCATCTCCCAGGAGACCCCAGAGCCAGTTATACATGGTGGACAGCTTCAGACTATACCAGGTTTCAACTACACATCCACGAGCGACACACTCAAGGGACAGACTCAGTGAGCACCAGAGCCCCACTGAAGCAAGTCCTGTTCCATAGAGGTGTCTCCTGCACAGCAGCTCTCCCACTGCAGTTGCAGCTGGTCCTCACAGCCAACTGGCCTGGAGGTCACTTCCTCCCAGTGACATCAAGACTGTGCACACAGGGGCACACTGAGAGTGCACTACTTAGGTGACTGGGAAGACTGAGCCACTGGGCCCTCCAGGACACCTATTACACAAGGCCACTCTACCAATTCCAGAAGCCATAGCAGCTCTACCTAATACATAGAAACAAGTGCAGGGAAGCAGTCAAAATGCTGAGACAAAGAAACATATCACAAACGAAAGAACAACAACAACAAAAAATCTCCAGAAAAAGAACTAAATGAAATGGAAGCAAACAAATGACTAGATACAGAGTTCAAAGCAATGGTTAAAAGGATGCTCAAGATCTTAAGAAGAGCTTCAAGGAACTTAGTGAGAATTTCAAGGCTTTTAGTGAGATTCTCAAAGACCTGAAAAAAGACCAGTCAGAAAGTAAGCAAACATTAACTGAAATAAAGAATAATTTACAGGAATTTAACAGCAGAGTAGAGGATGCTGAGCATCAAAATCAGTAATTTGGAATATGAGTAAGCAAAAAAAAACAACACCCAATCAGAAGTGCAAAAAGAAAATGAATCCAAAAAATATGAAGATAGTATACGGAGTCTCTGGGAAAACTTCAAGCATATCAACATTCACATTATGGGAGTGTCAGAATGAAAAAAGACAGAGCGAGATATTGAAAATCTACTTTGAAGAAATAATAACAGAAAATTTTCCCTATCTGGATAAAAAAAATAAAAATAAAAAAAATAGACTTATAAGTCCAGGAAGTGTAGGGTGTCCCAAACAAGAGAAATCCAAAGAGGCTCAGACCAAAATTAAAATGACATAGGTTAAAGACAAAGAGAGAATCTTAAAATTAGCAAGAGAAAAACAGCTAGTTACCTACAAGGAGTGCCCATAAGACTGTCAACTGACTTCTCAACAGAAACTTTGCAGGCCAGAAGGGAAAGACAAGAAATATTCAAAGAGATGAACAGCAAGGACCTACAACTAAGATTATTCTACCCAGCAAAGCTATCATTTAGAACCAAAGGTCAGATAAGGAGCTTCAGAGACAAGAAAAAGCTAAAGGAGTTCACCACCACCAAACCAGTATTACTTGAAATGTTGAAGAGTATTCTTTAAGAAGAAGAATAAAAAAGATAAATAAATAGCCCTAACTGGTTTGGCTCAGTGGATAGAGCATCAGCCTGCGGATCGAAGGGTCCCAGGTTCGATTCCGATCAAGGGCATGTACATTGGTTGCGGGCACATCCCCAGTAGGGGGCATGCAGGAGGCAGTTGATCAATGTTTCTCTCTCATTGATGTTTCTAGCTCTCTATCTTTGACCCTTCTTCCTCTTTGTAAACAAACAAACAAACAAACAAACAAACAGCCGGGACCAGTTTGGCTCAATGGATAGAGCGTCGGCTTGGGGACTGAAGGGTCCCGGGTTCAATTCCAGTCAAGGGCATGTACCTTGGTTGCGGGCATATCACCAGTAGGGGGTGTGCAAGAGGCAGCTGATCGATGACTCTCTCATTGATATTTCTAACTCTCTATCTCTCTCCCTTTCTCTCTGTATAAAAATCAATAAAATATATTAAAAAAAATATTTTGGAAAATAAATAAATAAATAAAAATAAAACAGCAATAAATATATATCAATAATTGAATCTAAAGATCAAAATAAACCAGTAATGTAATGAACAAAAACTGATGAATAAAATAGAATCAAATGCATGGAAACACGGAACAGACTGATGAATCTCAGAGGAAAGGTGGGAGAGGGGGCAGGAAGGGATTAACTGAAGAACTTATATGCCTATATGCATTACCTACGGACACAGACAAAAGAGTGGTAATGGCCTGGGATGGAGTGGGAACTGGGTGAAGGGTGGCAGTGCAAGGGAAAAAAGGGAGACAGATAAGACAGATATAATACTCTCAACAATAACGACTTTTTAAAAAAAGGGGAATAAATAAATGAGGGGGAAAAAACTTGAAAAAGAAGACTAATGTGAGCAAAAGTCCTATGGTAATTAAAAATTTATATAACAGATGACACATATAACAAATATGTAGCTCAAACTTGTTGCTGAGATTTAGCCCTATTAACATCTATATTATCATTTGGTCATATCGATCACTTAGGCTTTTATATTTACACTAATAAAAAAGTAACATGCTAATTGACCATACCTTTGCAACGCCCACCAGCCAATCACGAATGAGTATGTAAATTAACCCAACAAAAGATAATTTGCATACACAGATGCTGAGCGGCTGGGGGCAGAGAGGGACACCTGCATTGTCGCTATGTTGATGACATAGGCTTTCCACACCACCCCAGCTACTCCAGGCCTCTCGGCAGTGTGGGAAGGCAGAAAAGCAGCTCCAGGCTGAAGCAAAAAGCCGGCTCCGGCCAAAGCGAAGGCGGTGCCAGCAGCTAGGGGAAGGAAGGCCCATTCTTGCATGAATCTTCATGAATCGGGCCTCTAGTATATGTATATAAGATTCCAATTAAGACCCAAAATTATGTGCAGCAAAAGAATGATGATGGGCTCTGGCTCTGCCACTAACTAGTTATGTGATCTTAAAAACTAATCATCTGTAAAATGAAAATAAAATAAAAATTTAAAATAAGGCTCCTCCAAGATTTGTTCATTTCTATGGATCTAGTATACAAAATAGACTTCATTCAGGGGAGATTATGGAAATATACTGATAAGAAAGCATTTCAAAGACAACAACAGGAGCAAAGGGAACAATGTGGTTATCTTTTAGCTGCCCCAAAACTACATTCCCAACATTTGAAAGAAACTCTATGAGAAACTTCTATTTGTACTCTAGGAGATGAATAATATACAAAGAATATATTAAGGTAAGCAGATAAATGAAGGGTAGACAGAATGGATGAGAATATGCCTAATGATTTTATAAGGCCTTGCTAGAGGAAACTCCTGGGCAAACACTGGATAGGCAAGAAATCCAGAGCCTCTAGGGCACATGTGTCAAACACAAGGCCCACGGGCCAAATCCGTCCTGCCAGGCCTTGCAATGTGGCCCGCACACCTCGCTGTCATCACTGCACTCCGCTGCGTTTCCATCACAATGACAGTTTATAACTGTTCAGTAAACCATTCGGCCCGCGATTTAGGCTGGATTTTAGATTTTGGCCCCTTCTCTGATTGAGTTCGACACCCCTACTCTAGGGAATACAACTTCTCCAAGATCATCTCAGGTAAGTATCTTAACTTACTTATTGTAATCACTTATCAATTGAATAGCCTTCGTAGGGAAATCAAAAGAGTATAACCAAGGAGAGATATCAAGATATATTAAAAGCTACAGTCAATAAAAGTGTGCTCTGGTACAGTGTAATTAATATACCAAAAGAACAGAATAGACAGCTCAAAAGTAGGTCCTCTCTTTATTTATGACAGAGTTGATACTACACATTAATGGAATAAAATAATCAATAAATGATGCCAGTTATGTGTAAATAAAATAAAAATGAATCCCTATGTCATATCATCCAACAAAATATTTTTCAGATATATTAAAAAAAAATTATACTAAGAATACACAACATAAGCTTTTAGGAAATATAGGAGAATCTATAGAACCTTAACATAGGGAAGGATTACTTGTCACAAAACAGCATAAACCATAAAATAAAAAATGAAAATTTATTACACTAAAATTTTAAAGTTTAAAAGACATACAACTACATGCAAGACAAGCCATACTCTGGGAGAAGTTATCCACAACATATATATGGCAAAACATTAAAAACTGGAACTTTTGCAAAATAAATAACAGACAAACAATCCAACAGAAAAAAATAAAAGAAAATCTAAAGACAAAATATCAGAAAGAGTAACTTCCTTGTAATCAACAAATTAAAATCACAATTGCACATCCACCAGATAGGCAAAAATTTTAAATTTGACCGTATCAATTTTGCTGAGGATAGTGAACAATGTATCACACTCTACCGAGAATATGATGAAACAACCATTTTGGAAAGGGGACATACTCAGGAAGGTTGAATATCCACTTATCTAAGTAATTTTACTCTCAGGCAATTTTCCAGAGAAACCCTGGCACAGTGTATACATTACCTCATTGTTTGTACTAGCAATAAATAAATAAATAAATAAATAAATAAATACCATAATTGCAATTTGTTATAAATATACTGTGGAACATGACATTTGATCTATTAACATGTACCTATATTATTTAGATTTTTTTAATTAAAGGGAATAGGTAGATCTTTTATATATTTATGTAGATAATAAGAGTCTTCCTGATATTCTACAAAAAAATTCCACATTCCATATTATATCAGTTTTATTAAGAGGGAGGGTAGAAGTGATTAGGTGACTGAAAATATTTTGGTTGAGATTGGTAACCAATGATTAGAATTTTTTGTACACATTCATAATAATGCACAGTAATAGATTAATACCATTATTACAATTATAGTAATTGAGGTCCTGCTTACCCAGGTTTCTTTCTGCTGAGAGTCTATAAATAATAGATGTGTGGCTGTAAGATATAGTGTTCCTGTTAATGACTTGTTGTTGGTACTGAATCTGTCAAGTAATTTCACTTGCTCAACCTAAAAAAGAAAAAAAAAAATGTTACTTCTCATTTCAAAAGTAGTATAAATTCTTTTTCTGTTACCCCAGGATTTAAACGTACCATTTTCGAATTTTTTTTCCTTCTGTTAAAAAACATAAGTTTACTTAATATTGAATATTAAATTTCATATACCCCTAGAAATATATAAGCCACAAATAACATAGGTACTATTTACATTTATAAATATAACTGAAAGAAGAACCCTATGAAAAAGTATTAACACAGATATTAAGGAAAACAGAAAGGAGGGGTGTCTTATAAATAAGCAAAAATGGTTTTTTTGTAGCCAAGAGTCAATATATTTTACTTAAAGTTAGCAGGTAAAGTAATAAATATAATAATGTTATTTTGTAGAATTATGGAAGCAAATTACCCCAGAAAAATAAATCAGGAAATAATTAAATGGTTGCAAACTCCAACTTATTCTCCTCACCACTTCACTGGAAACATTGTTTTGTGTTCAACTCAGTGCTTTTACTCACACTGTTCTCCCTGCCTACAATAGTCTCTTCTGCTTAACTAGTAGTAAATACAAACAAAGCATTCTTCAAAGCTCACTGATGCTCTGTCTCCCAATAGGAATCCTTCTCAGAATGTTATTACTTAATATCTTAGCTTTATATTTCTTTGTGGCTCTGAATTCCCTACCATAGATTATGTCACATTCTGCTTCTGTATCCTTTGGTAGCTGAGGCAGTGCAGTACACAGTACATCTTTATTAATAGTAGACACACATGCATAAGGTTGCCAGTGAAGAGTGGAATTAGAGTTGGCCATGGATGTGCAGGAGACTACTGTTTTGAAAAAAACGTAGGTATTTCTTTCTATCTATTCCTATGTAGGTAACAAAGTTAAATAACCTTTACCAAGTTAAAAATTTTAATCCACAGCTTTCACAGTAGGTTGAAGATAGTTTCTTAAATTGTTCAGGGCTTCAAAACCAGATAGCTAACCATTATCGCATTAATTCTATACTTTTTCCATACACACACACACACACACACACACACACACACACACTCACACATAGTATTGTGAGTACATGAAACAGAGCTTATTCATTTATTATTACTAGAGGCCCGGTGTACAGGCCTGCCTCCTCTCCAATCTGGGACACCTCGAGGGATGTTAAACTGTCCATTTAGACCTGATCCCACCGGGGCCCTCTCACAGTCCAGAACTGCTGGCTCCCAACTGCTCACCTGCCTGCCTTCCTGATTGCCCCTAACTGCTTCTGCCAGCCAGCCTGATCACCCCCTAACCACTCCCATGCCAGCCTGATTGATGTCTAACTGCTCCCCTGCCAGCCTGTTTGCCCCCAACTTCCCTCCTGCCGGCCTGGTCACCACTAACTGCCCTCCCCTGCAGGGTTAACTGCTTCCAACTGCCCTCCCTTGCAGGCCTGGTCCCTCTCAACTGCCCCCCCTGCTGGCATCTTGTGGTGGACATCTGTGTCCACAAAGGGGCAGGATTTTTGTCCACATGGGGACAGCATATTGTGTTGGATGGTCAATCTGCATATTCCTCTTTTATTAAATAGGATAGAGGCCTGGTGCATGGGTGGGGGCCAGCTGGTTTGCCCTGAAGGGTGTCCTGGATCAGGGTGGGGGTTCCCTAGGGGCATGGGGCAGCCTGAGCGAGGGGCCTGTGGTGTTTTGCAGGCCAGCCACGCCCCCTGGCGACCCAAGAGGAGGCCCTGGTATCTGGAATTTATCTTCTACAGTTGAAATTTTGTAGCCTGGAGCGGAGCCAAGCCTCCTGCTCGCTTCATGGCCGGCAGCCATTTTTGTTGGATTCATGTATCTTTTATAATTAAAACTTTGTAGCCTGGAATGAAAGCCTGGGCCCACCAGGTTGTGCAGAAAGCTTTGTTTTTTCTATTGCCAGGGGCAACCCTAGCCTCCCACTCTTTCCAGCTCCATGGCTGCTGGCATTTCTGTTTGGATTTGTTTATCTTCTATAATTGAAGCTTTGTAGCCTTGAGTGGAGGCTTAGGCCAGCAAGGGCAGGCGGAAAGCTTGGCTTCCTCTATTGCCTAGGAAACCCAAGCCTCCCTCTTGAGCTCTGTGGCTGTGGCCATCTTGGTTGGGTTTATTTGCATACTAGCTCTGGATGGTGGGTGTGGCTTGTGGGTGTAGCAGAGTGATGGTTAATTTGCATGTTGTTCTTTTATTACGTAGGATTTATTAATTATTGTGCCATTTCCATACAAACAATTGTAAACTTACTTTTGACCCACCCTGTATTTTGATTCCCCTTACTAAAATTGAAGGGAAAAAAGACTCCTCATTTTGAAATTATGATTTCTGAAATAATCAATAACTACCATTTAAAAGGCTATTAGTTCTCCCACAGGAAATTTAATTTCAGAGATTTTTAAAATATATATATATTTTATTGATTTTTTTACAGAGAGGAAGGGAGAGGGATAGAGAGTTAGAAACATTAATGAGAGAGAAACATTGATCAACTGCCTCCTGCACACCCCCCAATGGGGATGTGCCCACAACTAAGTTACATGCCCCTGACTGGAATCAAATCCGGGACCCCTGAGTCCACAGGCTGATGCAGTATCCACTGAGCCAAACCGGTTTCGGCCAGAGAAATATTTTTACTTAAAAAAGCACCTGTTCAAATAAATTTAAATTTAAATACTTATTTTTGTAGAAAAAAAAAGTCCATCCTGACCTTAACACCTTGTGGATTATTCATATCTTAGTAAATGCAAAATTATATTCAAATAAAAAAAACATATAAAAAAACCATTATATGACTGCTTCAATATGGAAATCTCTATATAGATGTGACATAATAAAATTAATCTGAAATTATCCCAAAACATTTAGTTAATATTTAAACTAAAGTTCTAGAGGGGGAAAAAAAGATAATTTCTGAGAAAATATACTGATTATTTGGTTCTTTCCTGCAAATCCTAAAATACTTTTTTTAAATAAAAAAAAAATAGAATCTTTTTCTTTGCTAAGATCATCAGCACACAAATTTCAAACTAAAGACTTAGCCAATTTGTGAATATATACCTGCTGCTTCATGATACCTCTTCCATCCATGTTAAGGTGGCTCACTCCCTCACCACTTTCAGGTCTGTACTCAAGCATCACAATCTCTATCTATAAGGATGTCTCTAACTACTATATTTACAACTGTCCTCCCCCACCCTATCCTGGCAGTCTCCACAGCATTTACCACCATTTACCATATTACATGTATATTTGATTTATTAATTTTGTTTATTGTTCTATCTTCCCCAACTAGAAAATAAGGGCAGGTATTTTTGTCTGATTTATTCACCACCATTTCCCCAGTACCTAGAACAGTCCCTGGAAGAGGAAAGAGCCAGAGGAGGGAGCAGAAGAGAAGGGGGCAAGTAAGTGGAGAGCAGAGGAAGAAGCAAAGAAGGAAATTAGATAGGAAAGACTGTTCCCTGTTCTCTTCCCATTGGTGATTCACCACTTCCCATGTATCCCAAATACTCTGCCTGGCCCTTCTTCCAGTGATTACCCCATTTAAAGTATTCCCAGGGCTCTAGCCTTAACACTCATCACAATAGGAAATTTCATTGATTACCTAAACACTGACACCTTCCAAATCTATTTATCTGGACCAGACCTTTTCCCTAACTCTAGACATTCATAATCAGCTACCTATTAAAAAAAAAAAATCCTACCATCCAAGTTGCTCTCATCTATCCTCTCCTTTCCCATTCTGACTCACACTGATCTACCTCACTATTCAAATCTCTTGAATACGGTAGATAATTACTCTCTGAGGCAGGAGAGTGTAATGCTTACAAAAACATGATTGGTATCATAAAGACCAGGACTTAAGTCTCCAGCTCCACCTTTTCTTTAATAGAGCTAGCTGTTGAATCAAGAGAAGTTATTTCACTTAATCTCTGCTAATTTATTTTCTCACCTGTACATTGGGATAATATTAGTAAGATTCAAAATGACACTATTTTATTTTAAAACACAATTATTATTTTCTGGGGAAAACATTCAGATGTTCCTCAAAATCTTTTGGCTCATATTTCAAAGACAAAACAATATAATGTTCTCCTTATTCTTCATACGTTCTTAGTTTTACATTTCCTTCACTTTGTAACAGGTAATATATATTTGTGTACATACATGTATGATCTCATAGTCTAATGACAAAAAGGGATAGCCATCTAAGACAAATCAGGCATAACTTTGGAATAACTTAATTTGACCCCTAATGGGGTCAGATTTTCATGGGGTATTCCATTCTTTAACAAACTCTAGGAAGTAATCTTACATACAGAAGTTAGGAAAGCATTCTTCCTTTTCATTCTGTAAAGTTCCATTCACAAACAGCACAAATTTCAACATCAACACATGATGCTAGCCAAAGGACTGGAGCCTGGCAGGAAAAGAGGATTGCTTAAAAAATTGTCTCTGCATATTTGTCATTGTTTCTTGGCAAAACTATCTCATTATAGCAAAATTAGCACTCAAAGTGACAGGCAGTAGCTACAATGTTCATAAGTATAGACTGGAAATGCTCTTTTAGAATTTCAAATTTGGACTTGACATCTTTACTGATGCCATTCAGTTAAACCAAATGTGACCAAAACAGAATGATATATTTCTGAATTTCAGAACTAGAAAGCCATTTAATTAATAGTCACCTAAAACACTTTATCTGATAAATTTCTGGTTAGTAAGCAAAAACAAAACAAAATGATGACCATAAGCAATACAACAAACAGTACCATAAAAATATTATTTACTTACTAGAGGGCCGATGCATGAATTTGTGCACGGGTGGGGTCCCTGAGCCTGGCTGGTGATCAGGGCCAATGGGGGGGCCAACTGGCAGGGAGGATGGACAGCGGGATATCAGTCAGCCGGCCAGGGGTAGGGGCCATGGGAGGTTGGCTGTGGGAGCGCACTGACCACCAGGGGGCAGCTCTATGTTGAGTGTCTGCCCCCTGG